TGCACCAATTTCACAAGTCACTAACTCCATATCTCATTCGTATCCAGAAAACATGACATCTCCTCAATTAATGAACTCAAGCAATGATCCATCATCTTCATTTAATGATTATGCATCTTTGACTTCTTCTTCAGCAGTTGTACTTACTGAAGCAGATCTGGAGAGTATTCAACATGCTCTTTATTTACTTGAAACTAGCCCAAATGTGATATCTGTCATTGGAAATTCTCAACAAACACCATTATCAACTATTAGCCATTCTAATAATCCTTCATCATCCTTAGCTTCTTTATTTACTGGTAATAAAGAACAACCGTCTCAACCACGACCACCATCATTCTCAGCAAATATACAACACAATCTTCCATCGTATCCATATAATTCTAATTCTCAACAATCGCCACTTTTCTCCACCCCTAGTTATCCTTCAAATTCAAATGATATTTTAGGTCATTTGACCAAAAAAGGATCAATTTTTCTCATTTAAGAGAAAAATTTCATTTTCTTTTATTTTGTCAATAAAAGTTCCTAGAAAAACATTAGTATTAAAATCATGTCGTTTTCACTAACACAACCATTTATAATATATATATACGAGCATAATAAGGTTATTTTATATTGTTCAAAATACATTTTCCTCTATTCATCATATTATTAGGACAAGACTCACTGATACGCTAACTTTGTCATCTTTCATCATTACGAATAAAATTACTTTTATAGGTATTCTCATTTATTCTTTTTTTCAAATTATATTCGATATGAACAAATATTTAATATATTGTATTTTGATCATTATCATAATCTTAATTCATTAACAAGATAAACATTTGATTTTAAATTCAGAATGACAAATCATGATGACCTAAATCGTTGGAAAGACATGCCATCAAAAAAGAAACGACCGTTGATAAATGAGATGTTGTCATTTGTTGTATAAAGATGATCTAATGCAAATAGAAATCCTTAACTATATAATACCAAATATACAAGAGTTGATTTCAATGTGCTTCTACTCTGAAAAAAAGAAAACGATTTTTATTTTTGAAAACGTTAAATCGGGTTTTTTTTTTTGTTCTCTTTTCTATTGAAAATTTATATGCTCTGTACAAAGAGTATAAATTACAATTGAAAAGAGAGAAGTTCTTACTTGACATGAGAATTTAATCAAATAGAATTCTATAAAATGAATTTCTTTTCTTTTTTTCTATATCAATAATTGAAACGATTGTATTTATAACGACCCTATGAAAAATTTATTCCCTAGAAAAGAAAAAAAGTAACGTAGACGTTAAGTTAACAGATTTCGCTGTACAAAAAATAGATAAATAAGCTTAAGCGTGTTTTAATTGAATCAGTCAATCTTAATTATATTTGTTGTTTGACACATGGATGAAGAATGCACACGATTCGTATGTTAAAATATTTTATTTTCATTTAGATCTTCTTTCAATGATAAATAATCAATATTATGAAAAACAAGCATTTCTCGATCATTCTAATGGTCATTGTTTATCATCATCAAGTGATAATGAAACAATGTCGCGATATTTGAAAATTCAACGAAATTTTAAGCGTTTTTATATCACAACAAAACTTCGTTCATCATGGATACGTATTCTTTTATATCTTCTTCTTTTTATTATCTATTCAATTTTTATTATAAATTTCTATGAGTATTTTTTTGTTCAACCCGATTTTTCATCTAAATTATTAAGTTCTTCATATGCTTGTCATGATACATCATCGTGTGCTATTAAAAATGGCTTATTAATAAGAAATGAAAAAGTTATACAAAATAAAAATTATTCACGAAATGCATTTTTTTCTGCTTTATATACTGATAATTATTTACTTGGTGCACTTATTCTTGGTTATACAATACAAATATATCATCCAAATCATCCAATGTATATGCTTTATTTTCAAGATAGATTATACAATGAAACAACCTTGTGTGCTTTACAAATAATTGGATGGAAATTAATGAATGTTAAACGAATTCCATCAGTACCTGGTACAAATAAAAAATATGTTGATCAAGTAAGAATTCACAAAAAAATTCTTTTGTAAGGGCTACTAAACATTGAATGTTTATTCCATAGAAATTATTCGCAACGACAGTTTCTAATAGTCACGAGTTTCTAGTTGCATACTTTTAAGTAAACAAAATAATAAACTACTCGGTGGATTCTCATATAAATACGAAACAGTTACAGTTAATACAATATTCTAGCTAATAAATTATCGCGCTGTAGAGAAATCAGAAAAAAATTCTAATGAGACTGTACCGATGTAATTTTGCTGAAAAAGCTCATCATGGAAACTTGCACACAATTTATAAATGAAAAGAGACATGTTTCGTCGGACACTAATTTTTATCAGCGAGTTCGATACACGTTCACATAATTTGAATCGATTACTGTCAAGTTAGAAAAAAAATGAATATCATTTCGTTTCTGTACGCCGCATAAACTCATGAGAGGGAAAAATTCTAACAGAATGGTATGATTGCATACTTAATTTCTATTCCACAGTTTTCCAACAACTGTCTGTAAGTGACAAGTATTCATAAACATTTTTCAAGTACCGAAAGAAATCGATTTGTACGTTGCTAGAAAACATTTATCAATGAATTATAAGTCTGACTCTAAAAAGAAGGATTTTAAATATGCAGAATAAATTTCATTTAATATTGCTCAATTGATACTTTCTTGATTATCAAAACCTAGTGATAATTTGTTATGATTTGTATTGAAGACGACTAAATAGGATTGACTACACAGAGATTACATAAAAGATGTATACAATGCATAGACTTTATTCAAGGTGTCTTCTTTTTTTTTTATATGTTATGACTTATTCTAATAAACCCTTTACCACTCGGTACTAATTCATTAGAGTGAGTGATGAGTCAACAATAGGAATAACTTTTACGAATGTTGATTATGACGCTGATATAGTTCAATTAAATTTATTCTTAATTTGATTTTTTTGTATATTCTTTTGTAATTACATTGTTGTTTTATCTGTATCAAGTTGGAAGTCTACTTACTACTCCAAATAGATAGTTTTTATAAATGAATCAAAAAAATTACCCAACAGAGGCTAAAGACTTAACATATTCTATGTTAAAATTTCAATGTAATGCAGTGGTGCACATAAGTTTAGAGCATTTTGTATTTTTGAATTTTCTTTTCGGTAGGAATAACTAAGAAGAATTCTTGTTGAAAGAGTAAAAAGAAAAATGTTTCGTCTCTCTTTATGACCTTCATTCCTCGAACTGCATTCAATTTATAGAAGGTTCGTCAAACATGATGAACCATTGAAATTCTTCATAAAAACAACAGACAGATGTTCTGTAAATTGAATGCAGTTCGATGAAGAAGAATCATGAAGAGAGCGGAGCCATTTTACTTTGCTTCATCAAATGAATGCCAAAAAACTGGTTTTGAAACTCTTGACTTTCCAAACAACGTCATTCAAGTAATTTTATTGACATTTTTGAATCCACCGATCCAATGTTTTTCGGATTCTTCCTAGAGCTTATCATTGAAAAATCGTACTAAAATTTTGTTCATCATTATATATTATTTCATATTAGTTTACAAAATTAATTCTTTGGAATATGACACAATTTGATTCAATTGTTTATCTTGATTGTGATACAGTTGTTTTAAATGATCTTTCTCATTTACATGAACTTGTTATGGAACCAAAGCGAACTGGTTTTGAATTTGCTGCTGCAACAGATAATTGGTTTGGAACATATATTTATAAATTTAATGCTGGTGTACTTGTTCTTCATCCATCACAAATTGTTTTTAATGAACTTATGCGTACATATATAATACCAGGAAATTATCGTACTGTCATGGCTGAACAAGAATTTCTAAATCAATTTTTTCGTCTTCGCTATTTACAATTACCAACAGTTTATAATATGAATATGGCTGTTTATTCTAGTAAACAATATTTATGGGAAACATTGAGACCAGATTTTAAAATTGTACATTTTACGATAAGAAAACCATTTATGTCCGATGGAAAAAGTACACGAGGATATAAAGGTGTTTATGACTTATATGATGAGGTTTATACAGATTTTCTTAAAAATCCAAAGGTATCTTTACTCCGAACATCTTGTTCTTTGATTCTATAAAAACAAATAAAAAAAGAATACATTTTTAAACTGTATGTGAATCACCTTAGAGTATCTTAGTCTATAGAGAGCGTTTTTCGTAAGTACTGACAATTCTGTCGATAATATTTCTTCACATTCATACTAAAGAGTATATTAATTACTCATCGAAATTTTCCTCAAAAGATGGTTAGATTCAGTGATCTCGACATTCATCAGAATATCATGCCATTACATTTTTTAAAGAATTACAAGAAAATTCAATAAATTTTTCTAGCTTGAAATATTCATGTGTTTTCGAAATACTTTAAAATCAGAGCTTTTTTTGGCTTTGCTCAAGCAGAGCATCATTTTTCCTCTTCTTTTTCTAAAACATTTAACCGTAGTTGTGGGTGAGCATGTGTGAAGGAAAGAAGAATACCATTCAGAGCCACAGCCACCATCACTCACTACGGCGAGGGCGGTAACGCCTATTTATATGATAATGTTTTGAAAATGGTTCATATCGATGTGTGTCTAAAAGCTTTCAGAATAGCTTGTAATAACACTTCAATTAGATCGTGTGTTCAGTACTTCTATTATATTTAATTACGTTCTTAAAGACTTCAAAAGAGAGAAAAGATAAAAGTCAAATAACTTAAACATACATACAAAACAATACAAATGAATAAAAATTTTTATTCAACAAATAAATAATCAAGTATTTGATGAACGAGAATTTGGTCCTACAAAAAGTCGTGTATTAAATCTTTGTTTTGATACTTTGAGTATTTTGAATTGTTGATCACAACCAAGAAATATTAAAACGAAGACGAATTGCAAGCCAGCAAGAACAAAGAAATAGATATAAAATAATTCAGGTTGATCTCGAGCTTTACACTATAAATTTTTGAAAAAAATTTCAAGAAAAATTCTATGATAAAACATATTTCTCGTTGCTTTTTCTTACTTCTGAATTATCAAATGTGAGATTTTCGTTAACTTTTACAAATAAACCAACATAAGCAGAACCAAAAAACGATGACAGACCAGCTGAACAAAATCGAAGACTCATTATCAATGATTGAGCTGATTGTGGTGCAGCCATATAAGCAAATTCAAGACTAGCAACTGAAGCAAATACTTCTGAAAAGCCTATACCAATATATTGTGGAAATTGATAAAATATAGACATATCAGCAGCTGTATAATTTGTTTTACCTACATTATAAAATCAAATATGTAAAGAGAAATATGATGATTTGATGTATACCAATAGTTTGTGAAATAGTTGGTAATGTATCGCATGTTTTTTGACGAAATATTTCCACTGTACCTGCTATACACATAGATAGGGATGCTGACATCAAACCAATGATAATGCGAGATCTTATTGAAATTGATCGTCCACTTGCTTCAAGACGTTTATAAACGAATGTATTGAGAAAAAAGATTGTAACTAAATAAAAGATAAGCATAACTATTAATCTTATTTCATTATACAAGTATATCAATATATGAAAAGAAGAATAGTACCAAAGAAGATAAAGATCGAAAATTTCTCTATTTTTGTCTTAATAATTAAAAGCTATTCATGCAATTCCTGTGCAATTAAAACAAGAAACTCGATTGATGAAAGATGTTATTTTGAATTCTATCTTTGTTTATAATACTTGCAAGGAAGAGTTAAGTTCTGTGACTAACTCTGTCACAAGCTTTGACGGGGAAGGATTTTTACTCATATATATATATATATCAACACTCGTTTTAAATAACATTTCAAAAAAATATTAGCATGTAAATCCAGCCATTTCTGATACAATCGTATCATGTTTTGACTGAGATTTGACAAGACAAGCAAAGAAATCATCACAAGACGTTTAATTAACTAACTTGTGATATTGTTTCTTATTTGAGTTACTTCATAAACTAAATCATTATACAACTTACCAATAATAATTATTTGATCACCAAGTGAAAGCCAAATAACAGGCATATAATGTTCATTCTTGTCTATACGAAGAATTTTTATTATTCTCATATGTACGCCTTGTACAAGAAAAGTTGTTTCAATCTAAATGAATATACTTATATTTCATTCATGTATGAAACAATAAATATCTTGTAAAAAATTTACAGTAAAATTTTTCTCATGTGAGTACCATCAGGACTGACCACAAGTACTCATCATAGAAGGTTCTTATTGTTGAGAGGTTTGCAGCTTTTTCTTTTCAATTTATAAGTATTATTCAGTGTAATAATCGCTGATCAGCTGCACATTGTGAACTTTTTCTTCTTACCAACAATTTATTTAGTCAACTTTTTAAATCAGAAAATTGTTTTTGCTCTTTGATATTTATTTGTTATGTATTTATAACTTTGGTCATATAAAGATGCAGACCCACTACTATTAACTCTATTTAAAAAAAAAGAAAAAGGTAACATCTGTTAACAAACAGAAGTCATGACTCATTGTACGCACCTGTGATACTTGTCTTATCTTGACTTTTTTGTATATGAATGTGATGTATTTCTTATGTTTTTCTGTTTTGAATATTTACTTATACATAATAGTTATAAATTGAAATAGAGATTGATTTAAAAACTGAATGCTCACTAACAATAGTATTGAGAATGATGGGTATCAGTTGAGATAGTCAGAAACAGGAGTATACTTGCTCATAGATGCCGTGACTGTTGATTAATGATGTTCTTTTGTGTAGTTATTAAAAACGAAACAGATGATATGATAAACCGAGCACTGTTACTGTTATCTAATATTCTTTTTTCTTTTAAATATTCACAGCAAGTCTATTCCCTTTCCTCATTCCTAACAAAATTTTCTTGCTTAGACTGTAAACTGTCCAGTATTCGAAAGTACTTACATAGAGAATTTTTACTGTAGTTTTCTCATAAAATTAAAATTTTCTTTTTAATTGTGAACATAGGTTTACCTGAAAATAGACAAGCCAATAAGGTATTAAAAGAAGGAAAACAACAATAATACGTCGAAGTGATTTGATATCATCTACTGTACGATCAATAAATCGTCCTTGATTTGATAATTTGGCATAATCCAAAAATGACCATGAGTGATTACTTGCTGATAATGATAACTCATCATTACTTTCAGTTTGATAATCTAGTAATGTTGAAGACTCAGAAGATCTTCGTTTACTAATTGATGTTTGTAGATTTTGTTGATGTTTTCTCCATGCTTGAAAAGCATTTATAAAAACAGGAATAAAATTACTAATAACTGAATCATGTGGTGGAATACGAATATAAAATTTATAACCAACTAAAAATAATATGAAAGCTATGATTAATAATGCTGTTGGAACAGTATAACCAATGAAATAACTATCATTTTGTTGTGCATATGCAATAAAAGCAAATGCAATAAGACCACCTGTATTAATGACAGCATAATATTTATCAAAATATTTTCGTGTTGCTTTTTGTTCTCGTATTTGTTCAGCACCAAATACAGCCATATTAGCTTGTACTGCACCAACACCAATGGCACTATGAAAAGATACAGAAATATTTGTTTTATTAATATATGAACAATTAAATTTACGTAAAAACTAATGTTGAAAGAATTTGAGGAATACATTGTTCTTCAAAAAATTCTGTTTTAATCGAACTTGTAAAATTTATTTTACCACAAAATGTACTATACAATTTAAACTTATCCTTGTCAGAGAATAATGAAATAAATACATAGCCAATAATATATAGAATAAAACCTATAGAAAATAATTAAACATTAGAAAACAAATGAAATCTTATTACCAATAATAATAGTTTTTGCACGACCTAATTTTCCATCACTTATCCAAGCAAAAACAAGTGCTGATATATAACTTGTACCTAAAAGATAAAAAATATTTGTAATAAAAAAATTTCTTACTATTAATTTTTATTACCAAGAAATATAAATGAAGCAGTAACACTATGAATAGGTGTCCAATGAATATTATCTGATGTGAGAAATAAAATAAGATTGCCCGCTAATGAATAAAATGCTAATCGTTCTAAACCAGCACTTAAAAGAATTAACCATACAGAAAGTTTTCGTTGAAATATGGTTCGATTATCAGGTACATTTGGAATATGTGCATTACGAAATATAAGTGGAGATACTTCATCAACACTTATATCAGCCATCTAAACAAGTAAACAATGGTAATGAATTATTATATGAAAGAAAAGAAACAATACATTATTGTTTGTCTATTATATATAATAAAACGAAAGCAACAATATAAATAATCTTTCTGGTCGTATGCATTTCAGCTATCTATAATAGTGTTTAAGAAAGATAAGATATAAAAACAAAAAGAATATACCCATACATCTTTTCTTTATTATTTGAAGAACGAAAAAAGGAAGTCAGCACAATGACTCAAATAGATTTCGGTGAACGCTTTTTTTTTAAATTCGCAATAGTTAGGAAGTACGACTCGGATTGAAAAAAATTCTTTAACCCTTACCCTAGGGATGCTATCGATTCCTAGAGCATAGTGTCAAAGATGCAATTTTTCTTCTTATTATTACGAATGTACAAAATAAAGGTTTTGAAATTGGTCATTTTTTTATTTTTATTTTTTTGACTGATTCCAACTGATTTTGAGATCGGTGTTTTAGTATTAGATAAAACCTAAGAATCATTTTGAAAAGTGCATTTAACACTGATCACGATTAGTATAAAGAATCACTAGAAGTTTAGTAATTCTCAATATTGGACATGTGTTTTTGCAAGCAGAGATAAACCAATACCTTGAATTTCTAATCAAAATTTAGAATATTTCCAACTTTGAACATTATCGAACCGTTATCAGTTTTACATATTCTTTCCAAAGCTATGTTTTAGATTTTGTCTAATGTCAAAACACTGATCTCAAAATCTGTTGACATTGATCAAACATAAAAACTATAAAATGCGAAGTTTCTACCAATTTTGATTGCAGTTTCGTATAGAACAAAAGAAATTGTGTGTGATGATGTTCGAGGAATTCTATGAAAATCTCTTCCGT